GTGCTCAACCTTGTCCCTCGGAAAGAGGGAAAAAATGAAAAGCTTTGCTCACCTGTGGGAAGAAGGGTACTATTTAAGTATTTGCTTGAAATGCCTCAGTTTTTTTCCTGGAAGTGCCTTTGTCCATGAAGTTGGTCTCTCTTCTTAATGCCCACTAATGTGAAGAGGGGAGGGGGCACCTGCTCCAGACTGGGGGGGATGCTGAACTGGAAGAGATGAAGGAGAGGGACAAAAGCCAGTGCTGATCTTCATCCTTAAAAGATGCTCAAGCTGGGCATCTCTTCAGCTGAAGTATTTGAGCCTGGTCCCACTGAAGCCAGGGTAACTGGAGTAGATCTAAGAGCTAAGGATCCAGTGCTGCTTTTGCTGGGCTCCCAGATCGCATGACTTGGTTGCAGGACACCGGGAGGTTTTTCTCCTTTCGTGGTGGCAGCAACAGCTATTTGAAAGGGCACTTTGGTGATCTTTCTTGGTTTGTTCTGGTGTCCTTCCTGCAAATGTCAGTGTGCTTTATACAAATAAAAATAGATGTGTATGTGGGTCACTTACCCCCACCTCGCTGGTCTTGTACCCTGAGAAAGGTGGACATGGTGTCCAGAGGAGCTTGAGTGATGCGCGAGACCTTTTGGGGAAAGGTCCCTTGGTCCTGCTTGGGCTGTTGGGGATGGATCAGTGGGATGCTGCCCCGGGAGGTCAGTGCTGATGTCTTCCCTTGGTCAGGGTTAGTGGTGACCGGAGGTGATCAGAGGGGCAGAGCAACCTCCTGCGCTCCAGCCGAAAGCCGTAGGGAGCCGCAAAAGCGCCTCTTCCCTCGGTCCTGATTTATCTCCTGCTGAGGCTGTTTGTTCTGGTACTGGGATGTTGGCAGCTCTGCAAATTGAGATGAGCTTGGTTCTGAGCCCAACTTGCTGATGGCCATCTGTCAGATCCTGGGACAGGTACTGATGTCTGTACAAGCTGTGGAAATCGGGAGATGGAGCTGGTTCAGGAATATGCTGCAGATCTTGGCATCCGTCATGGTCTGAGCCCAATTCCAGCGGTTGGTCTCACTGGGGCTGCTCAAATAGAAGAGTTACCCCTGCCCATCACCCCTTGGACCTGGGCCCTGGAGAAGACTGAGCTGGATGGCAGAGGATTGCCGTGTGGCATGTGTTTCTTGTTCCTATTGCTGCTCCCAGTGGTGTCACCTTGCTTCTTGGCTGCTGGGGATGGCTTCAGACCCCTGATCTCCCTTCAGCACTCAGGTCCTGCTCAGCAGTTCCCCAAAATGTGTCCTTCTGGGGCCCAGATGCGTTGGCATGGGTCTGTCTTGGCGTGTGAGCCCTTGTCCTCTGCTTGGATGGAGGGATATGGGGGCAGATGAGTCCAGCATCCCTCATGCCAGTGAGATTGTTTATGATGGTCTCGGAAAAGGTATTGACTGAAACCAGAGTGGGATTTCCAGAGGACCCACAGGGGATGGAGTTAAATAGAGGGAAGGGGATTTACCCTTTGGCGGCGTGCTGGCATGGCGAAGCGGCAATTCTTGGCTTGGTTTCCAGAAGCCAGAGCATCACGCAGCTGATTTTACTCTGCTGCTTGCTGTAGCGCAGGGCCGTGACCGGCACATGGCTTGGGCGGTGTGGGATCGAGCGCGGCGATGCTCCCACGGGCATCCATCAGCGATGCTTGGCTGGGGAGGGGAGCAGGGCCATGTTTGCACGGGGACACGCGTGCGAGTGCGTGCAACACGCAGCCGAGCGCCAGGCCGCCGTTCGCGGCCCCCCCACCCCCCCCCCCCGCCCCCCCCCGCCGTTATAAACAAGCACAGGCGCTCCTGGGCGATGCCTGCTTGCGTTACCCCGTCCCCATCTGCTGCTGGCTCAAAGCGTGTGCGAGCGTGCACGTGCGCTCGGGAGCTGCGAGTGTCCGCACGTGGGGTGCGCGGCACTGCCAGGGCCAGGGGACGAGCCCCCGGGGGTTACCCACTGCCCTATCGCTCTGTTTGGAAGATGCCTCCATACAGCTCCTTGGCAACAAACCCATTTTTGAAGCAAGCCCGGTGGCCTCAGTTAGCACCTATGTGAGTTGCTGGGATACCGGCTCCATTAACGAACAGCACCGGTGGCAATTAGCAGAGCACAACGCTCCGGCACTTGGCAGCTTGGCTCCGTGGTGGCATCTGGCCCTGAGCTTGGTGGGAAACCACAATGGCCTTGAGGGATGGAGTCCTGAGCTCCTTCCCAGGTGATCCCATAAGCACGGCTTTATGTGTGTTGGGAATTCATTGATAGAGAAAATGAAGTGTTGGGCTCAGGGCAGGTTTGCCCTCGGAGTCCCGTTGCAGAGGGGCCCTGGGGCAATCAAGCGTCTTCATGAAATGCTGTCCCAAGCCGTGATGTTGGAGACTTAATCACAAGATTGATTTGGCAGGGGGTTTGGACTAGATGACCCACAGAGGTCCCTTCCAACCCCTAACACCCTGTGATTCTGTGAAAACTGGCAGAATGATTTTAGCCCTGTTCCTGTCCCCATTTTCAACCTTTTCTGTTCAGCAATCTGAGCAAGGGGGCAAAGAGCATCCCTACAAAGTGCTCAACCGCGTCAGCGGGTCCTTGCATCACCAAGGTGGCTTCCAGCAAGACCTGACCCCACACCATCCCTCCCAAATTGGTGATGTTTGGCTGCTGGATCCATCAGTAACCCCAGGCTTTCAGGGACCAGTTGCATCTCGGCACGATTGCTTCCCACACGCATGGCTCAGCGGGCAGGGAAACGCGTGAGCTCTTCAAAGAGCCTCAGTGCTCCCGGGAAAAGAGCCAGGTTTGCTGAAGGATGAGCCCGGTGCATGTTTTGGGGTTTTTTTTTGAGGGGGAGCAGGGGGTCTTTGCATCAGCTACTGTAGGTGGGAAACACCCCCAGCTCGGGATGGGGCTTCCCCCCAGCCTCGGGTCTGCGCTTGCTTCCTTCCTTGCTCGCTGCGTGGATGCATGCCAGAAAGTAAAGAAGGAAATTGCTCTTCTCTGTGGGGCCTGATCCTGCTCTCGCTTCCACTGCGGGAACTGGAGAAGCTTTGCTGAAGTCAGCAACGGGTTTAGGCAGGCGGCCTTCTGGCCCCCAACCCTTTCTCTGCTTCCAAGCTGGAGCAGCCGTGTCTCCGGGGGGCTGAGTTATGGGGAGAGGTTGAAGAATCCCATGCCTGCCCTGCTGGCTGCTGTGGTTGGGAAATGAGTGGGAAAAAGGTAGAAAAAGGGGATAAAAATCAGATTTAAAGAGGTAGTGCTCTGCGGCCTTTTCCAGACGGTGAAGGTGTCTCAGCATCCTCCTCGGGGGTGCGTGGAGGTGATGCTCCTCTTGCTCCCGAGTGTGTGGTCAGCCCTGATCCAAGCCCCAAACAGCCTGGCCCGGGCCAGCACCCCCCATCGGTGCCTTCACATCGAAGCAGAACCCAAAGATGCTCCAGTCCCTCCCCAGTGAGTGGGGATGCGGGGCCAGTTTCCGAGCTTGGCACTGCCGAGGGGGCCATCCATCACCTTATGTTCTGCTGTTGGGGAGCTGCCTCCCCCCACATACGCACACGCGCTCGCTCACGCTTGCTTTCTCCGGAGCTCGCTGGGGCTTGCGGGGAAGGGGAAGGCGAGGCTGGATTCCCCGCTCCTGGGGAGGATGCGGCGAGCGTGGCACGGCGCGGGGCGGTTGGGCTCATCATGGCTGCGGCATCCTTAATTTTCCATATTTTGGCAGCAGAGCTGTCCCTGCAAGGTGCACTGATCCGGAGAGCTGATCT